CAGTTAAGAGTAATCCTGTGGGTAGCTGACGTTGATGATAGGTCAGAATTTTTAAATAAGGAATGATTGTATTTGACGCTGTTTGTTTTATATCAGAGTCACATTGGGATACCTGCTGGGTTCACTACGGGAAGTAGAACCCTGGATTCTAGCGTTATAAGTCCATAAACTTACCGTTGTTTCATCTGAGGACGATTGTACCCGAATCTCGAGGTCTCTGAAATTGCCGTTTAAATAAAGTACCACGTATGATTTCGTTCAACCTGAAACATTAAATATAAAAAATCAAGCATACATTGTATTCTTGTCTTCAATCATTAATGGTGGTTATCATCCTATACAGCAATACTTTCTTATCACTGACAGACGCAAGAGTCCCGAGTTCTTATGAGTGAAAACAAGTACAAAAAGTTTGTTTGTCAATTGTCCATTTCTTTCGGCTGAAGGCCATAAGTAGGCATTATTTATTAATTCAAAGGCTTACCTTTTAGTACGCGACAAGTTATAAAACGTGCACTTTACCATTAGATTATATATATCTATTGATTTGAATATACGCGTGGTCTACATAGAACAAAATGCCATTAAATTTAAATTGCGCACATGGTTATCGCCTCACCAAGTGCCCTATCATCCCCATCATGTGGCCTTCTCTAGGATTAGACCCTAGATCCACCATTGAACCTTATTACTACTTCTTTTTTTACCATTAATACACTACCTCAATCTGGGACAGAAAACAAACAACTTTACTATGATAGGTATTTGTTGTGCGACATTTAACAAATAATGTTATTTGAAAATAGAATACCCATTTAGAGAGTAACAAGTGATTTATTTGCCCAGTGTTTTCTCAAAAGGATGCGCTAAAAATCTAAGATGTAAGGATACTATTATATCACCTTAAATCACTGACACGGCCTTGGATGCTCCAAACTAGATATCTATCCAGAAACATGCACACTTAGCGCTTGAACTATATTTTGTTTGTTTAATCCAATAGTAACAATGCAAGATTTTTCGCTTAAAACTATAAATCTCATCGGACCGAGAGAGATAAAGCTGTCACGCAAATATGAATTAAAATGCCAATCTCAATCAGCCTTGAGAAAAAAGTCTCATAAAGTAGAAAGTTGAAGCAAATGGAGTGCGATGATATTATTATTTTATTTTTTCTCTTTTCGGTAATTCCAAATGGACATGTAGGAATTGTAAGATTAAAAACCATCTAGAATGCTACATGTTTCGGTCTACAACCTTACAAGTCAGAAATTACGTAAATTGATGATCCTATATCTGTCTGATTTATTGAAAATCTTTGAAAAGTTTTTTGCTAAGACATGTTGCCCAGATGAAAAAATATTTGACAGATTTGATTAATTCACCGCCAAGAATGTAGAACATTTAGATACTATATTGGATTTTTAGTATTTTCAGGTCTGTTAAGGCATTTCAAACATTTTTTACTTTCCCTTGATGTATTGATTGATTTTTTGTCATTAAAGAACTAGCTGCCGAGAGTCCAAAAAGTACTGCTGTTTCTGTTTATCATGAGTGATTAACCAAATATTTGTAAAATTATTCTCATAGTTAGAAAAGCACGTATAATAGATCATCTATATAGTAAGATTACCTCAACCAATTTTGCAAAATAAAACGATTTTGCATTAGGATTGGACATATTAACAAAATGAAACTATTTTGCATTAGGATTGGACATATTAACAAAATGAAACTATTTTGCATTAGGATTGGACATATTAACAAAATGAAACGCAAAAAGACAATATTAACTAAACATTTACCTCCAATGCAAGTTATAGCATGTCATAGTAACTTTAAATTAACATTCATCGCCCACAGTCGACTCGCTCGATTACCGTAATTTTTTTATGGTAACTGGACACTGTTTGTGGAAATACATGGGATATTTTGCTTTAGAATTTTTGCCCGAGAAGAGTAATAAAAATCATCCTGTAATATGGCACATTTCCATTTTTTGTAGAATTTTGGTTTTGAATTTAAAGGCACAAGTGCTTAATCAGTTAAATGAGTCAATTATTTCCTTCCACAAAGCAGAGTATGCAATTAGCATCTAATGAGGTCATTAGGGATTTAATAACAAAAGGAAGAGGCAAGAGGAACATTATCCAACATTGTTCTTTATACAGTTTTTGCTTCTTTAACGGGTAGCCTCAGCTAGTTTAGAAAAAGGATCTTAGAACTTATTTAATCTTATATAAGTAACAAAGAATTTATTGTATGTTCACTAATAAAAACATTTCTCATGCAATTATGTAACACCAAGCCACATAGTTTCAAAAGTGGTTTTCAAACAGACAACACTTTTATGTTGATTTCCATTAAAATGAATAAATGTTTCTCAAAGGGAAGAACTATTTATAACCGATAACAATAGAAATGGAAATATACCTATCTTTGTTCTCAAGAAAATAAGAACAACAAAATCTCTCTAAGTTGTTTAATTTACAATTGTGAAAGAAGCGTGTTTATTTGAAACCGATATCACTATATAATTTTATTTCTTTTTTTGGCAAAATTTTAGATTTTGAGCAGACGATATTCATAACGTGAAACCTAATTCTAACAATACAACTGTAAAAACAAATGATAAATGTAATTAAGGAACTACTGCCGACTCCAGTAAAATTTCTCCATGCCATCTGTAATTCAGGACCGAACCTATACCTATCATAGCGATACAGTAGATCAATAGAAATGAAGCTCAATCCTTTTCTTTACAAACTCTTACTGGCGTAATAATTACACTGCAGTTACTTCGTTATTATAAAATGTAGATATTCAGTTCTTTATTACACTCATCCACGTTTTTTTTATGCAGGAGTCAAGTCATCAACACTACCCTGTTACACGTGGTTATCCCAACTCACAGTTTATGTTGCAAAACTCGTCAACCTGATCACTGTTATTAATTATGGAGGTGATATCGTTTACGGCTGAAATCATGCAGATGTAAGTCACTTGCTCTTACCAATTGCAGAAACGTTTTGATAAGAATTAGTTTTGAAATAAACAAGCACGTTAAAAATGCGATAAGTACTTCACACATTTCGATGAACGTCGTGTAATGTAGTACAATGAGGTTTAAAATCTAGGACCATCATAGTGGATATGATGTAGTGTCAGGCACTACTGCAGTATAAATACTATGGACATTTCAGCTCTTCACACAGTCTAAGTCCGGTAAAGTCTGAGATGTCAGTTTTCCAGCTGCAATTGTAAATTGTTTCAATGTTTTGTAAGCGATGTTATATCGGATAGTTATTTGGCATTATAAAGAAATCCCCAGTTTTCACTATGCTACAGGAGTCGCTCAAATCTTTCAAAGACAGTATCAAGGGCAACATCTTCTAGAGAAAGGATGAATTCGACACTGAATGGCTCTTTCTTGTCTTCTAGAGTTACATTTTAGTGTTTTTAATCAAAGTGTCTCAGTGAATATTAAGAATAAAAAAAAACGAAGCAACCCTCGCTATGAGCTAGTTGAGAAGCTGAAATTGTCACTATTAATGTCATGAACTACTAAATTGGAGATGTATATAACACTCTAAATGCAATACCTAACAATGAGGTAGTGGAAAATACGCTCGCATTAAGATATTGAATATAGTCCCTAACATCTAGTGTGAAAAGTTTCTACTTTTTGTGTGTGTGTATGTGTTTGTTTAGTTTGAATAATGTACTCTTCAATAAAAACATTCTCAGTGCTGTTTAATTTTTCAACTTTACACAAAAACAATTCGAAGAGTTTTTTGCCTTTTTTAAACAGATTTGCGGTTGCAAAGGCCATTGCAAGTGAATTACTAAGGAAATTGTGACTTTTAACCTAAGTCAAGACCGAAAAGTTAGAGTTTCAAGCAAAATTTTAAAAGGCAGAAGAATTTAGAAGATTTTACGGCTACCAATGTCAAAAGGTTTTAAGAGTCCTTGCATTGTAGCTATAGTACTACAAAAGACAGCAGCAAAGGACCCAATCTAAATACTTGTTTTGAGTATATTTAATTTAAAATGTCACCTATCAAAATTATAAGTAAAAAAAAGAATTTAAGGTGTTGCTGAAAATCATTTTAATATGTAGTCAAGGATATAATTTTAGATGAATAAGAAAGTTGTAATAAAGTTCACTTCAAAAGAAGAAAATATATATGACTGAAAGTCTTATACTTCGGTTGAAAATAGTTTTGTATTCTATATATTTATAATTCATTTTGCGATGTTATTGGTTTTTTATCTTTGGAACATTGTTCGTTAATAGATGACTGTACCAAAGAAAACGTTACAGAGATTGACACTGTAAAAACCTACTTCCGCTTTTAGTTTACATGAGAGAGACTGAAAATAACTTATGCTGTGAATATCATGCTAATGCATGTGATCTCACCTACTTTTCTGTGATAATTACTGAAAAAAACATGGGATCTTAAGGACAACGGGTGATATAAACGTGAAACTGATGAGGTCAAATGTACAAAATACATTTTGCATATGGTATCAGTTTTGTATATTATGGAATTCATTGTAAAACTGTGTCATTGTTTGGTATTTTACTGGGCATCTATGGGTTATTTGCTGCATATCTGAATATATTGTTTCCTGTTGGGAGGACAGTCTTCCCTCATCTGTTCTTCCAGCAAACGACGAAAACGAATTCTACCATCAGCTTAACGGGACTCATCTGAAAAGATCACATGTCGCCACTGTTCTAACTGTAAGTTGGCATGCTGTCTTGCCCAAGTAACATGGTGACAGCAGTAAATTCTGGTTAATATTGGTTTGCAGATAGCTTTCTTGTAAAATAACCTTATTTAGTTAGTCTCTCATTCATTATTCCTCTTAATACCCTGGAATGAATGTGTTCATATCATTCCTGTCGAAAGGTGTTGCAAGACTTCTTTCGACATTGACGTGTTAACCTAATCAAAACACGGTCATCTCGGGAAGTAGTTTTTGGCATCTACCAATAGACTTTTCTGGAATAACGTTTCCTGTACTCCAATGACGCTCTAGGATTTTGGGTACAGTACACTGGAGGAATCCTACTGTTCTGGCAATGTCCATTTGTTTCATGCCATTTTTGGACATTCTAACAATTTGACGACCTATAACTTTTGGTATGTGACAAGGTATGACAGTACAGAGAAATATTCTGAACAAAGCGTTATTTTATTTCGAAAAATATTATACCAAGAGCACACCCTTTTATACAAAGCAGGTGTGTATGTGTGTTTGAACGATCAAATGCTCAAAATGACTTATACAGACTAGAATAATAACTCGTACATGTTTGTCCGATCATGCGCTACCTTCTCTGTTACAACTCGGGCATTTACTCAATAACTATTCCATGCATGTAAACAATAACATCAATATAAAACATTTTACAAACGTTTTGGTCAAGACTGTATGTACTGAGTTATATGGCAGTACAGTATCAACACTCTTTTCATCACGCAGTTTAACTTGGCTTTCTGGCCGGCACAACTACGTCATTTGTAAAGTACTGAACTTTTTGATGTATCAAATATGTCAAGCTGGAAGCCACCAGGTGCACAGAATAGGAAGAAAAATGTTATAGGAGGTGATGCAGTACAGAAATATTGAATACAAGTCTAAATATGTTATAATTTCATTGCACTGGTCAGTTGGTTAGGCTACAGTTGGAACATTTTGTTCAGTCTTGGATTCATTACCTTAGGAAGGACTTTGAATTGTTGGAAAGAGTTCAGAGAAGGGTTACTAGAATGGTGCCTGGGATGGAGGGGTTGTCATACGAGGAGAAGCTGAAATCTCTCAAACTGTTTTATTTTGAAGGAGGATTTGATTGAGGTGTTTAAGATTGTAAAGGGAATTGATAGTGTTGATGCATCATCTTTTTCATATTTATAAGTGAGAATAGTAAGACTAGGGTGCATAAATAAACATTTTAGCAAGGTAAGAGTCATTTTCAGCTAAGATATTTTCATTTTTC